ATCCTAATTCTACTAGAGGCCCAATAGCCTGTTGGGACTGAACCTACACTTGATCCCTAGTCGGGTAAGTCCACTGCAGAGAACCAAACGACAATAGTCGTCGAGGAGCATCTTCCACCAGGACTTGTCGAGGATCTCTCCTCCAAGAGCACGTCGAGGATCTTTCCTCCACGGGCATGTCGAGGAAACTTACTCCATGTATGCCTCGAGGAATTCTCCCTCACGTTCCCACCAAGAGAACATGGCTAACGGTCCTCCAGATCTCACGCAGTCATCCTGCTCCTGAAAAGAGTGGGTCTTCACCTCCGAAAATTGCAGAGCATATGAACTAGGATAGGAACCAAGAACTGGCCCCATCTATCCATGTAGGATCCTGGCAGTCTCTATTATGGGCTTGGGCTTCCAGTCCAAGTGGAGACCTTGACATAGCAACGGGGGCTATAAATATCCCATTTCACTAGAGGGTCATGTACATGATTCTTCTCACTTAAACTCTCTACTTGAACTTTCGCTTTGAACCTTACTTTGGCATAGGAGTGTCTTGCAGGTACCCCTCCTCCCCCCACTTCACTCTCAAACGTCGTTCAGTCCAAGTTTTGCAGGCCATCAACGATCCATTTTGGTCTGGTACGATCAATATCATATACTTGTGTGCGGAATAAAATAAATAATATGAACATGTATATAATTACAGAATCTATGACATGTTAGTATATGTTAGTATATGAAATATAAGATTGTAAGAATACCTAGATCCATAAGATAAAAGTATTTTTCCAATGATAACAGAAATCTTGAAATGTAGTGATTGACACTTGTTGACTTGTGGATCTTTCTCAATTGTTACTCCTAATATCTCGAACACTCTTCAGATGGGGAGAAAAGATAAACTGTTTGTGTATGATATATTGGGGATCATAGTTTATATATAGGGTGATGACCAATTAGGGTTTCTATTATTCCAAAATGAATCATTCTGACATCCACTCATATTTGAGCACATACCAATTAATTAATTATTAAATATAAATCTAATTGGCCTTTTAAACTTTATTTAACCACTTAATCAATTAAGACTCTTAATTTGATAAATAACTAATATAATTCATATATATATATATATTTGCACACGTAATAATTATTGAAATATAATAACTAAATATTATTTAAATATAAAATATTCCAACAATGCTCAACATTTACCACTCTATTTTAAAAGTGAATTATTTGTCATATGTAAGACAACACGCTGACGAAAGTATGTGTTCTCTATAATAATTTATTTTTCTATAATTCGCGTTAAATTCTCGTAATAGAAGTGATTCGGGTTAAACGGAGACGTCAGAATAAAAGTTATGATCCTATGTCATGTTTGTCTTATTATATTTTAAGTGATTTTTAATTAAGTTGTTTTTCACTTGTGCTTTTTCACTTAAGTTGGCAAAATTCAACTATTGGTCACTCTAGATTTACATCAATAGAATAGAATTTGATATTCAACTATTGGTCATTGAGGTTCGATAGCTTTTTGTACTACTTCACATTGTAGTATACCTGCAGGGTGTCAAGTTTTTGACGCCGTTTCATAAAAAAAGCGTCTTGTTTACTCTTTTTTCTATGTCTTAAAATAATTATCCTTTTACAATATTAATGCAGCATTTATTTTTTTTCCACTATTATTTTCTTATTTATTAACTTTCACTATATACGATTATTCCACTAACTATAATTAATAAAAGTATTCTAATAAATAATACTACTAATTTTGTCATTAAATTAATATATTTAATTATTTTCTTAAAAATCATTCACATCTCAAAAGAATACTTTTTATAATTAATATTTAATTTAATTATTATACATCCTAGGCGAGGCAATAAAATCATATGTTATTTTGAAGATTTTATATTTTGATTTTTTAATTTTAAATTTTTACGATTAATTTATATTGAATGTTACTATTCAATGTAATTATTATTTTTATTCTATGAAAAATGAAATATGAAGACTTGAAAACACATAAAATATTTTAGTTTGATAAAAAAAGGTTTCAGATGGCGAGGATTCTTGTTCCTATTGAGGATGTTTGTTCAATAATCATTTTCGATAAGTTTTAGAGCATAGGCGGTATGGGAAGGCAGGTATGAGGCTGCTAAAGTTGAAAATTGACCCTGAGTTGCCCCATTATCATACTTAATATATTGACTTTTATTGAAGGATCATTGTCGTCCTAAGAGGCAGTATGGACGGTGTACCTTCACGAAATGTCTCTCGACAAAGTAAATTCAACTCGCCCACAAGTAATGCTTGAGGGACTTGCCTCAAGCAATGCTTGAGAGGTTTGCTCCTAGCAGAAAATTTATTCAATCAAGGCAGAATAAAAGTATATGCTTTGAAACTAAAAAAGAAATGCAAATAAGGTAACCCGCCACATGGATTGAACATGATCATTAAGATTCCAAAGGGCGGTGTTACAAATCTCCTTTAGTGGGGAAACAAAACAAAAACAAGGGGCTAAGAAGTAGATAGACTCACTCTCACAAAGTCTTGCATGAGTATCTCAACTATTTTTTTTGCCAAAAAGACTCAACTTAAAGTCTCGTTAGAGACTCAACTTAAAGTCTTGCATGAGGGACTCAACTTAAAGTCTCGTCATAGGACTCAACTTAAAGTCTCGCCAAAAGAACTCAACTTAAAATATTGTATGAGTGACTCAACTAAAAGTCTCGTCTGAGGGACTCAACTAAAAGTTTTGCCTAAGGGACTCAACTTAAAGTCTCGACTGAGGAACTCAACTTAAAGTCTCGCCTGAGAGACTCAACTAAAAATCTCGCATAAGATAATCAACTTAAAATCTCGTCTGAGGGACTCAACTTAAAGTCTCACTTGAGGGACTCGTTGCAAGCCCTCATCAAGAAAACTCACCTAAGTTGGATCCGTAAAAAGGAATCGTAAGGCTGCTAGCGCTCTAATTAATCACTTCGTCCTTTTTCAAACCCTTGTGCTTGAGGAACTATGTATTGGTATAATTTTATTCAATCTTAAAAAAGGATAATACATAAAAGTAGTAAGACAAACCAAACACACTCGTGTTGGGCGAGCATCCTAAAAACCAAGAAGCTACTCAGGCCAAAAGACTTCACACAATGCAGGTCGCTCAGAAGCAAAAATACATGTCGTTCCATTGAGCTTCCAGAATTAACTCCAATACCCACTTACTAAATAAACGTGGGAGATGACATGTCCAAGTAATAACTAACTAAAGAGGTCGGTGAACAAGAAAATTCTTTCCCCCATAAATTAAGGAAGAATGAGTATTCCAGTACTCCCATAATTTTGACCATGGAAAGAGAGAGACCACCTTCTAGCTTTCTAGCCCATGCTCGATAGATCTTCTATAAATACCTCAATTCTATAAACAAAAAGGAAATATTTAATTTTACACCGAAATAACTTCTCACCACTCTACATAAGGAAATATTTAATTTTACACCGAAATAACTTCTCACCACTCTACATAAATAAGTCATACGTAACACTCAAATACCCTTAACACCTGAGATAATCTTACACAACAAAAAATTGTCTCTCATTATACTCTTTGATAGATAATCCTACACAATAAAAATTGTCTCTCAATAGTCATTCAAATCAGTCATATACTTTTAAAAAAATGGAGTATATATATATATATATATATAGAGAGAAAATTTAGTCATATAGTTAAAAAAAATTACTCATTGAATGGAGTCATACACTTTAAAAAATGGAGAAGTTGATCAGGATAATAAAAATAATTATATAGACATATATTTTGTATGGTACAAGACCATTGCATAAAGTGTTGTTTATAGTCTACCAACCAAAACTACTGGATATTATATAGCTAAGGTATTCAGGTGATGCCCAATTTCCAATTTTTAATACAACGAAATGTTTCAATTATTAATTATTTGATTTGAGGTGTGATACCCTACTTCCAAATCTTATATTTAAATTCCAAATATTAAAATTGAAGTTTCAACACGCCAATCAAAATTCTTGATTTTTGACCTTTGTCTGCAAAGATATACACACCTTTGTCTGCAAAGATATACACGCTCTCAACCACGTGCAAAGTCGCAATAAAAAAGAATAATAATATAATGCCGCCTGATAAATGTTAGTACACAATTGCAACGGTAGTATTTGAATGATAGGTTATGCTAGTGTACTGTGTATGTCATCGATTATGTCAAGAAAACGATAGCAAGTATTAAATTATCTGTATTTTATTTATGGTTGAGACAAATACAATACTAGTCTTACTCTCATTTCTTGTATGTAAGGTGTCCTATAATTTAGTTAACGACCACCTAATTATGTCTGATGTGGGCATTATAACTTCATCAGTTACCTTTCTCAGACAATAATATTGCATCATATGAAATAAATAATTAAATTAAATAATTAAATAATTTAAAATTCCATACAAACAATTCTGAGTATTGTAAGTAATCTATTTCTTTTCTCCTCTTTCAGAAGTGAAACACTTCCTATTATGTCATAAAATCATGAAAGAAACAATTTGCTAGAACATCGTTGCAAATCCAAGTATGTACAAAGAATTGTGACAGCAAACAGCCTCCTAAGATCCCTAGAATTGTGTGCACTTGTTTTCTTTCATGTGGATACAAAATTGAGCATTTTCACTCCCCCACCCTGTCTTCATTCAAATGTCTGCAGTTTTTCCCCCCAACACATCCCAGCAGCTGTGTCCACAAAATGGCTAGAACCCAACAAAAGCATTGGTCCAATGCAAGAATTTGGCTTATCCAAATTACATGCTCTCTGTGGCTCATGCAGCATCCCCGAAAGCCCCTGCCCCCGGCCGATAGCTTTGTTTCATCAGCGCCTACACCGGGGGGTGAGATCACGGAATGACGAAATCAAATAGATCACAAACTCCCGCACCGCCAAAGGTTTTGCTGCACAAGAAGAATCTGCAGATAATGCAATAGCTATACATCTCTCTTTGCCATGGTTCCAGTTGAACCCTGCCTCTTCTGTATGCCATGCTGCCAGGCATCTCTGGATTTATCACCCAAATCATCTAACGAGTTATCTGTTATATAACGTGGTGGACGATGGTTCCCATTTCTGGAGCTTACTGAAGCACCATTCATCCTCTCGTCATCTTCAGATGGTGCTCCAACTCTGGATTCCATATGCATCTCCATTGATCTATTATATCTTGGCCCACCTGATCTCATACCCCTCATATTCAAGGGTGCCTTACCAGGCAATGGTGTGTAAACAGCTCCCTTGGGTACCAAAAAGTCCTTGGGAAGAGATTCTGTGTCCATGTAGCAATTTCGGTTTTTTGCATCAGCAATCAATGCTTTCCAATCCTCAGAATGTGTCAGTGCATTTGCATTTCCCATCACCTGTCAATGATAACAAACTATTAATATCAAGCAAAATTTGTGGCTTTGACATTTAGTAAAAAAGACAGAATGACAATAGAAAGAGATCCATTATACCCAAAGAGCCCTTCTTGCACGCGTAAGGGCAACATTCATCCGACGTATATCAGCAACGAAACCAACCCCATGACCAGCACGCACACAAGACATTATAATCACGTCACGCTCTTGACCTTGGAAAGCATCTACAGTGTTGATATATAGATCCTTCCCTTCTTCTGAATTTAAGACTTCCTCAAACTCACGTTGGAGGCATTTCAACTGCAGCTTATAAGGAGTAATTATGCCAACAGAAATCTTTCCCAGACCCAAAGATTTCACTGCTTTCTGAACATGTTCGTACAATCGGAGACAATATTGTGCTTCAACTGTGTTGAGGTAGGAGGCCGATCCACCTCTGTGAGACTCCCGGCCTTGTCTTACATCATAGAATATATAAGGTCTAAGTAAAGGGTCTTTATAGTATGGTTCATCAGGCAATTTTATCACACTTTCACTGTCACTAAGGCGCCCCTGATAAAAGTATCTAGAAGGGAAATCCCGAATTTGAGGATGCATTCTATATTGCACAGACAGCAACATTGTAGGGCATCCTGCTTGTTGGAACCTTTCAAAAAGACTCCTGCTGTACATCAGTGTTCCGGCAGCCTTGCTGATAACTGTGGCAGGGAGCTGCTGAGGATCTCCAACAAGAACACACCGTGCTGCCCCAAGAGAAAGAGGAGGAAGAACTCCCACCTCACTGGCTTGGGCTGCCTCATCAATGACTACCATATCAAAGCCATGGGAAAGACGAGAAAACAACTTGCGGCCACTGCTAGATACTGTAGTGAAAACTATTTCAGCCTCATTGGCAAAACTGGCCTCTAAACTAGCACGGGCCTCTTCCAAATTGAAACCACTACCAGGTCGAAACCTACCTTCCAAAACAGCAAGGCGAGACATCTCCACCAGAACCTTATCCCTGCCTTCAACTACAGATGCCAGGTTCTGCAGCAAAACATCTCGATTCTGATCACGGGCCATAAGAAGGTCAGGGTCAACACCAACAGATCCTTGGGAGCGTACAGCAGCAGCAGTAGCATTCAGATCTCTATGAAGACAATGCAACTGCTGAGTATACTGTGCTTCACGATTTCTTAACTGTTGCATCCATCCAGAAACTTCTTCTCGAGTCTTGACCAGAAGTTGTTCAGTTCTCCGCTCAACAGAAACTGCTTGGGCAGCCCGTGTCTGAGTATCAACCCCAACCCGAGCAACATCAGGTCGATATACTTTCATCTCTCCATCAATAAATCCACGATCAAGAACACGGGAAAGAAGCTCATCAGTGGCAGCATTAGAAGGAGCACAAACTAACATTCTAGGCTTTGGGACTAGTTTAGGCAAAGTTCTTAACAGATTTTGATCCATATTTTGAAGAACTTCATCAATAGATCCTGTGGGGGCATTCTCTGAATTGAGCTCATTAGCATGTTTGTAGCTTTCAGGAGCTACATGCTTAAGCAATGAGGTGTAGTAGTGTTGATACTGCACAAGGTGAATGACATTCAACATTCCCCATACTGTATGTGTTTTTCCTGTTCCTGGAGGTCCTTGAACAAGAGTAAAAGGCCAAGGATCTTGCCTCTTTGTTGCCACACTACTTGTACCGGCGGCTGTATGCATGGCTGCCCATTGGATTGCTGCCAACTGGGGTTCATTGAAGGTCCTGCGCAGGTACTCAACAAAGTTTGGCGTGAAGCATTCAGGCATTGCCGGGGTCTGCTGCTCATATTTTGGGAAGTGTTCAGGACTAGGCTTTAGAATTGCAGTTTGCATCTGTCACGTGAGAAATTAGTCAAAACTGCAAATCAAGATGCATTGCTAGATTTGCAAATATTTTCACTACATATACCTGCACATTTAAGCGACGAAATGCATGTAGAGCAACATATTCCCTCTGTGTTGTAGCGAGAGAACCAAGCACTGTGAGATACCAAATGCTTCCGGTTTGAAGTTTCCTTACGATATGATCATCATCAGCCCTGAAGAAAAGAACAATCTCATTTGAGTACAACTACAGAACCAAGAAAGTAATATATATTAACTAAACAATTGAATGGGATCTTTAACAGGAAAATTTGAAGTAGTACTTGCCTGCTAGGATCGTAAGAATCCCCTACATAGTAATGGAGTATTGCACCAGGAGGATCACGGGTATCAATAGGTATGTGCCGCCTAACAGTACCCACCACACGTCCAGTGATTTCTGATTCCCCACCATCGTGAGCTAAAGATGAATTGTTCTGCTTGGGTCTGACTGCTCAACACAAATAAAATATCAATATTTTTTATCAAACAAACAAACAAGAAAAAATGGCTCTGCTAGATTAGCAAAAACAAACCTGATCCAGGCCTGGGGGACGAAAGAATTGCAACATCACCCTCCTTAAATGACCATTTAAAATCGTGTACTGGAAGTACTTTCACATCATACCAACCTAAGAGAGACAAGTAAATCAAACCCCCAAATTAACAAAAAACAAAGGGATAATTAACGGATATATCACCAAACTGTGGGATCATGTTTGTTGAACCTTGCAGGGAGAAAGCAAGAAACACGTCCTCAAAGTATGGCTGAGTACCCAAAAAATACAAGCACAATAAAAGAAAATTAAACTCCTTGAAGTTGGGAGAATTAAATTTCTGGCATACATATGGAGTTTAAATTAAAGCTAAAAACTGTACCTCTTTCTCTTGACTCATTTGCCTTTACTCGCACCATAATATGAGTATCCCTTGAAACAGTTTCTGTTGATTCTTCCCAAGTACTGTAAAGTTGAGCACGGCATTCCTCAAAAAGCAAAGGCTCAAATACTCGAACATACTCTTCCACTGATTCAAACTTCCCAGGAACACACTTCAAATCGGTCTCTCCTGAACCACAGAATCTTCAATCAGTTACAAATAAGAATAAATAACTTACAATCAAACTTCCAAATGCATCCTAACTGACTCGGCATTTAGTGGGACAAATAAGTAATCATCAACTAATATAAAAAGCAGCAAATGCATTTTAGCTCAAAGTGTCGGTATATACTACAACACATAAAGGGTTGTTTTAGATAGTCAACAGCAAATTTAAAACTTCGCCAAATCTTATATGTAGTATTATTTATATACAGCCAAGACTTTAATCCATGTGGCTGAACCGTTAGGGGGGAAAAGACACTGTTGTGTTCATATACAGCGAAATTGTTAGTCACTATGGCTATGCAAAGTTCCAAAATATCAGATGACTTGAATACCTATGAAACAATCTATTGAATAAGCAAGTATTTAAAAGGACATGTAACACTTTCTGATGAAGAATAAGAGTAGCATGTATCTACCAGTTAACTGTGCAGTATGTTCTCCGGAGTACTTTTAGAACTTACATTATTGTATAACCATCTATAACATCTTCTATAGATGATCTAAAAGCCATGACATAAAAAAATATGATAAGACATAAATAGTTACAAATTAGCATTCAAAACATGCATTCATAAAAGAAAAATCTCAGAAATCAAACAATCCCACACATCATCGAATAAATTCAGTAATCAGCATAGAGAACATGGAGAAATAGGACATGTAGTGGCTATAGTTAATATACTGAATTAAAGTAAAGCATCAGGTTGCCCTTCCACCAGTCTTTTGTTCTTTCTCGAGAAACAAGACAACTTGAGAACCATAACACAGAGGCATGTGATGGTGACTGGATACATAAGGAATTCATGTAAACCAATGAAAGCTACCAAATCAATATCAAATTTCATTCCAAAAACAACTACCTTTGCATGTCTCTCCAGTGTTATGATTCTCACAGTGTGATAACTGGAGGAAGGGAGCAACAAGATGAGAAATCAGAAATAATTCAAGTGCAAAGATCGGCAAAATTCAAATCCAAAGAGATCATAAGAATTTATGAATAACAGTATATATTTGCCCTAAAGAAGATAATACTTATACGAACAATTGGTACCTGGGTGATGCCAAAACTTTTCACTGGTAACCTCCCGGATGAGGCGTTCAACGGATGAGTCCTGGGACGGGAAACTCATAGGGGTTTGCTTCTTGATAGAGTGATGTTTCTTGTTTACTGGTCTGACATCATTGGAGCTTTGACCACTCAGACCCAACTTCCTATTAGAAACAAATGCATTCTTCTGCTGCCTCAACTCTGTCTGTTGTTTCCATGATCCCTGTCTTGGTATGGGTGGTAAATTGACCTCCATAGGAGATTCAGTCTCACTGTTGATCCTCCTAAGCCTACCAAATGATCCAGAATTATCACTGTTACAATCAGATTTAGGTTCATTTGTTTCAATTTGATTTACACCTTCACCAAAAGAAGAGTCAGATTGATTCTGATCCTTAGTTATTCCAACGCGTTCAACTTGTGCAGGAACAGTACGAACTTCCTTCACAGTACGACTTATAACTGGTGATGTGAAAGTCTGTCTTCTAGGGGTTGAGGTTTTGATGGGACCTGCTTGCTTGACATCTTCCAAGTTAAGAAACATGGTCTGTCTACTACGTTTCTTTCCCAACATTTCCTCTTTACGTTGGTCAATCCTTCTCTTCCCGGGAATATTTGCAGACCTAAGTGCATGACTTGCTTCAATACCTTTCACTTCTTTTTGCTTGGTAACTATACCGGGCTCCCCCTGTGCATCAATAGAAGCTTCATTTTTTATATTGCTTGCTGAATTTAGGACACCATTGATTTTGTGTTCACTACTATTTGATTCTAAACCTATAGAAGCCTGGCTACACTTTGCATCATTTAGATTATTAGAATTAGAATTCTTGATATTGTTAGACTTACTGTCAGAAGCCACAACATTTCCATCCACCATTCCAGATGTTGCTTGCTCTTCTGGAGCCTGACTTTTTTGTGGCAGATTATTACCTCCATTTGCATCAGCATAACCCTCCTCAGACCATTCCCCTTCTTCCCTTTCTGTAGATTGAGCATTAGCCGAACCAGATTTCTGAGATTCCACAACATTCACGCCCTCCTCTTTTATGGACTTAGAAGGAGCCTTTGCACCCTGATCTCCTGCTATCATCAACCCAGCATCCGCGCCAGAGACACTTGCAGACTTAGAACGAATAAATGGTTGAAATCCCGAAACAGTGGAGGCATGTGAAAATGCATGATTATTCATTATTCCTTGGGCAGCAGTAGAAGCTACAGATAAGTCAGTTCCTTGGGCAGCAGTAGAAGCTACAGATAAGTCAGTTCCTTGGGCAGCAGTAGAAGCTAAAAATAAGTCAGAAGCATGGGAATTTGTTGTTGGCTGGGTCTTTTGAGGCTGGAAGCAGAAAACACCATCCCTCTCATCATTATCATCTGTAGGTGGCTCATTGAGATCAAAATTAAATATCGTTCTTCCTCCGGAACCCATCTTATATGCATAAGGATGCAGACTAAATACTGAATAAAATGTTGAACAGGTGTGTAGCTTGTATAATATTTAAGCGACAATATACATGACATGCCCACAATGAAAAAAAATGGTAGATCTGCAAGTATAGCACAAGAAGAAAAAAAAGGGTCTTATAAATATACATATGACCATAATGTGTAAGACAACAATCAATAAAATATTTATTTACAGTTCAAGTCAAAAACACAAACTATCATCTATGAAACAAATGACAACAATTTGTATCTTACCCTAATGGTATGAACCCAACAAAACTAGATGAGCAAAAAGAATAAAATCCATAGCATACCAATCATCACCGGTAACAATGACATGTTTATTGTTCAGAAATACAGGCTATCCTTCACGTAATGTCAATTGCTGACCCAGATTAAAATAAACGAAAGCATAAAAACAGAAACACGAGATATAAAGCGGAAACCCCTTGATAGCATATCAAAATCAAAACCTAACACCTTGATAACACTACTAATACTAAGAACACCTAAAGCTAAACATCAAGCAGCCATCCAATCCTAATTAACAGCAAACCCCTCCTTCCCACCAATACCAATAAAAAATAGCTCACATTGAATAATCACAGAACAATTAACAGAACCCAATTCCACAAAGGTCAATGAGATGCACATTCACATACACATCAAACCACAAAACAGTTCTGAACTATCATCATTCCGGATCAAAAAAGGCACTAAATTTCCCAAAAAACTAGAAAACAAACCATAAACTACACCAGAGTGAAAACAAATCAACAAATATCTAGGGTTCCAATTCCAACAACTAAACAATACACACTACCTTTACCAAACCCCTTTCAATCCAGATTCAAAATTCACATAACATCCCCATATCATTAGATCTTATCATCCTCACAAACACCACACAAATAGAGATCAACCAATCAATCAACCCACTTGTTCATTCGTCAAAACAAAATGCACAAATCAAATTAGTCAACCATATTCCTCCATTCAGTATCGTTCAATTCACCACCATTATCCACAGTTCCAAGATTTCATTCACTGAAAATCGTCCACCACCGACCAACCCTAGAAATTGATCGAAAAATAAATTCGAAAATCAAAATTAGTCTTAGAGAGAGAATTTACCTCTTCTCACTTCGAACAAAAAGAGGGTTCTCTCAATAGGTGGTGCAAGTTGTAGAGAGAGATTACAGAGAAAGATTGTAGAGAGAGAAATTGTAGAGAGAGAAAGAGAGAATGGTTTTGATGAGGAAAAGAGGGTGTGGTGTTGGGTTTATATAGGAAAATACCGATCTCATCTCGATCATCGGAGTTTTAACTGATCACCGTTAAGTGATTTCCGTCCAGGGGTAATATAGGTATTTTTAAATTCTTATTTAATCAAAGGTTATAGTGGTAAAGTTTTGGCGTGTGTAGGGGTTACTTTCGGAAATTAGGTTTTTTTTTATGGAAATAAATAACCGGAGCGAGTTTCAACAGGAAGATTGGACATCACGCAAATCGCGGCGCGTGGAATACTACTTTTTCGTTTGTTGATTTTTTTTCATTGATCAAATCAATGAAACAATTTTGAAAAAAAAAAATAGTAATTATGTAATTGAATTAAAACAAATAAAATAAGAGAGAAATTTTATTTATTAATTATGATGGTCAATTGATTTTTGAATTATTTTATAAAAAAAATAATTTTTTGAATTATGATGGTAATTATGTAATTGCATTTTAATAATTTTTAAAGTATTTGATTCGATAAAATTATGATTTTTATTTATTAGAAAATGAAAAAATCTTTGATACTTTGTGATATGATTGGGTCTTGAATTATAGATAATCTATATTCTAGATAGATTCAAAATTTTAATAAATGGTTACTAGATGTTTTTATGGCAATGAATGACTGATTATAAAACATAACCAATCTAACTTTAGGATAATAGATTTGAGAATTTTAAAGATTAATTTTTATGCATTGAAAAAAAATTACACATCAAATAATTCCAAAAATAATACTTATAGATTTATAGAAATATTTTATATTTTTTTTATTAACACAAAAAGTGACATCGTGATTTAATTTAATTGGATTCAAAAGTTTACATTATTAATGGATATAAATTAAATTCAAATTTTTTTAATTTGATATGTATATATTGTAAGTGTAGGTATATTTTATATTATTATTCAACCATGATTATTGAATTATTAAAAACATTTGAATATAATCATAATTATTTTTAAAATTAATTATTTGATTGGTTATAATTTCTTGACAATGTGAAACTTTTTATTTTTATACTATATACAGATTAAATTCTGAATGACAAAAAAAAAAGTATTCTTTGAATTAATATAGACTAATTTTTAAGGTATTTATAAGTTGAAATATTTTTATTTACATTCTAGAATTTTTTTATTTATAACTCTATTAAAATGACTAAAAAAATTAAGATTTCCTTTTCATTGAATGAATATCAACTTTTTGAGTAGTTTTCTCTGCTAATTTTGCATTCATTCTAGAATTTTCATTAATTATTGTATTTTTTATTGGTAAATTAATTTAATCTAATCATAATTTCAATCAAATTAACATTAGTCTATTTCTAATTTAAATGTTAAATAAAATCTAATTAATTAACGTCAATAAATTATATATAAAATAATTATAACTCATATTTTAATTGAAATATAGTAATTAAAATTAAAAATATTTTTAGAAGTCTAAAAAATATTATATATTTAAATAACTAATATTATATATTAAAATTTTTGAAATCCTCATATTTTAAATTATTCAACATAAATAAATTAATAAATACACAAGTCTCTGTTTAATTATAATTTAATTATAATAAATATTTTATAAATTTTTATTTTAAAAAATGTCACTTAATTATCATTTTAACATAAATCCAAAAAAGAATGAATAAATATAATAAATTACATATTTTAGAGGTAAAATAAAAATAAATTAATTAACGTAGAATTGAGAAAATAAAATTACAGATTTTTTTTAAACTAAAATGACACTTATTTTAAAATATAAATAATGATAATGGACACAAAATATTCATTAGTATATAAGTTAAGATTTGTTTTATTTTTGTTTTAAAAATTATTTTATTTAACAAAAGCTTAATTATAACTTTGTTCTTTCTATTTGATTTTTTTATATTTTGATTCTTTATTTTTAAAATTACTATTTTAGTCTATTTTTTAAGTTTTTTTAATTTTTGTCCCCTCATTTTAAATACTATGATTTTGGTCATTTTTTAAAGTTTTAAGTTACAATTTTAATTCTCTTTCTAATTCTGATGATGATAAAAAAGAGATTAAAATTTAAAATAAAAATTAAAAAGGAGACTAAAATTATAATTTAAAATTAAAAAAAAAAGACCAAAATCATGATTTTTAAAATGAGAGGATAAAAATTCAAAAGAAATTTTTTAAAAAAAAAGAGACTAAAATAGTGATTTTTAAAATAGAGGGATCAAAATTAAGAAAAATATTAAATAGGGAGACCAAAGTTATAATTAAGCCTTTAATAAAATATATATTTAAAATATAAAAAAAAATTATTATTAATCAAATTTATATTGATGATCATTATACATACAATCTTCTTTCTTTTTTTTTTACTCAACTATACAATCTTCTCGGAGATTTCAACTTTGTCCATTTTGATTACAAGCCCAAACTATTACCATTGTGCTATCACAATTTAATTAAAATTATTGAAAGTATAATTCCTTGTGTCGAAAAGATTGTGTTGAAGTGTGAAAACAGTTTGTTACATACAGATTTGATTTAGATCTAAAATAGATATATTTGATTTAAGTCTAAAATAGATATATTTGATTTAGTTTCAAAATAGTTATTTTAGGCTTTTATGGTTTTGTGTTTTGGCTTAGAGAGTAAACTAACCTAAATCTATTATTCTTTTCTTGAGGAGCATTTTTTGACCTTGGACCTTAGAACTTAGTGTTTTACTTTGCTTGAAGTGGTTGTTTATGAGACTTTGTGATTCATCTGAACTTTTGAACTTCAATTCAAGACTTGACCTTGTTCTAAGAAACTTTGATCTTTAGTTAAAGACTTGGAATTCTCTTTGATGGCTCTGTGACTTTGGAATTCATCTAGATCTCTTAATGTTATTTTTTTTCATTGCTTGCTCTTGATAATTCACCTACTTATATGGTTGCTTATGTGATTTGTTTATCTTGTGGTTTGGTCCAAAGGAAAAAGAATGCTCATTTTGACCAATGTCAAATGCTTGCTCTATCTTTTGGTTAGTACACTTACACACATAAAGGCTTTCTCTTGGGCTACCTTACAATGAGACATTTTATTTCATGTCATTTACTTTATGTTTTAGGATAGTCTCTTCATCTCTCACCCAACTCTTCAGTTTTCAAAACTTCTCCATATTTTCAAAAAAAATTCTTCAAACTTTTTCTTAATAAATCATGACCTTGTTAATTGATTCTGAAAATCTTTTTCTTATCAAATGCTTATACACTTGAGCATGTTCAAACTCTTTTCAAAATATCTAAAAAAGACAAACCTCATCAAATTTATTTTTGTGCCTTCATGCACTTTTCTTTTAAACATTTTCAAAAGATTGGATATTAGTATGTTCTAGTAGTGATGTAAATCAGTATGCTTCTTCAATAAGTTGTGAAGTGATTGACATTTTCCACTTGAATGTTGAGACATGCTTGTGAGAAATTCCAAATAAAAATTCTTTATATCGAGATGATGCAAATGCTCATTCCTCGTACTTGTGGTAGTAAGTTATATTTTCCACTCGAATACGACAAAATATCTTTTCAATTTATAATTAATAATCAATAAACAAACTTTCATGGTTATTTTTACCATGAACTACGAGGCTTTGATTTCTTTATTGCACTATGAGGATACATAGGAATAGGACTCTTGAAATCTTGGTGAGTACAAACATAATAAAATACTTAT